TTTTTTTGCGTGCCGACCCTGCCCCGACCCCCGATCTTTTCGGAATGAGTCGTTTTCAATGAATTTCTTTTGCCTGGGCGGTGTACTTGTGGTTTAAGGGGGAAAAAAGAGCAAAACCCAAAAAAAAAACAAAAAAGGGATGTAAATCAACAGTGAGCGAATGCAAAATAAGAAGCCTCTAGTACCAGCGGGCCTATCTCAGTTGGTTTCACTGATGACCCATGAAGCCTCCAGTACCAGCGGGCTTATCTCAGTTCTGCATCCATATGGAAAGGAAGGAAGCCGATGACTACAACGAAATTCTGAATTGCCTGATCCTGGTGGTTTCACTGATGATATATGAAGGACGTCGGCCTTTTTTAAAAAAACAAAAACGAAAAAAAAAAAAAAGTCGCGTGTCGCTATTGACACCTCTGCAGGGTGCAAAAATCAGCCTACAACAAACAAAGAAAAAACAAATAAAATCAAATAAAAAAACCTACACCGCGCATGATCACCTAAATAAATAAAATAAAATAAAATAACCTACAAAAGAATTGTCTATGGAGGATCGAGAGGAGGAGACGGAGGCACATGAAGGAGGAGAGAAGGCGGAAAAGGGAGGCGGCGGGGAAGGAGAATGGGAGAGGAGAAGGGAGCCAAGGGGGAAAAGGGACATGAAAGAGCCAAGGGGGAAAAGGGAAAAGGGAGTAGGATAATGAAGGAGTAGGCGGGGGGGATGGACTGAGGAGGGACGTGAGATCCTCATGTCCATGCATGCTCTTCGCCTAAAAAGAGAGATGGGTTTCCTCCTCCTCCTCCTCCTCCTCCTCCTCCTCCTCCTCCTCCTCCGCCTCTTCCTCCTCTCCACTCCCATCTCTCTTTTGTCGAATTCAGAGGAAGGCGATTAGGGTGAGAGCTATGAGAGGTGATAGGACCGATGGCTATGAAAGATTAAGCGAGCGGTTGATAAGAGGGAGACACGCTCAGACAGGAAACAAGAGAGAGAGAGAGGGAGGGAGAGGGAGAGAGGGAGAGAGAGGGCGAGAGAGGGAGAGAGAGGGCGAGAGAGGGAGAGAGAGGGAGAGAGAGGGAGAGAAATGGAAAAGACGATTCGGACATGAATAAGATCGCGAACATGGAACAAAACGACGGAGATGGAGATGGAGATGGAGATGGAGATGGGGATAGAGATGGAGATGGAGATGATGGGGATGGAAATGGATGGAGATGGCAAAGATGGAACAAAACGACGGAGATGAAGATGAAGATGGAGATGATGAAGATGGAGACGATGGAGAAGGAGATGATGGGGATGGAGATGGATGGAGATGGCAAAGATGGAATAAAACGAGGGAGATGGAGATGGAGATGGAGATGGGGAGATGATGGAGAGGGAGGATGACAGCAGAAGAGCGGCACATGTACATGCACATGAAGAAGAGACGAAGATTGGCGATGGAGCTTAGGAAATTTAAGAAGGCGACGATGATGACTACTACGTGGACGGAATGAAAAAGATGGAGATGAACATGAAATTACAAAAAGATGGAGATGAACATGAAATTACAAAAAGATGGAGATGAACATGAAATTACAAAAAGATGGAGATGA